TGATGCAAGAAAAAACAACAGAGATAGATAGAAAATACAATGAACAAAGGAAAAGAGCCAAAAGAATAATAAGATCAAAGAAAAGAAAATATAATGAAGATAAATTAAAATGTATAGAACAGAGCTATAAAAATAGAGAAATTAGAAACTTATATCAAGGGGTGAAAAATGAGAAAAAGAGGTGCCAAGGAAAACCTGTACAATACAAAAACAAAAGTAGAAGAAATTTAGTAAGTGACGAAGAAATATTGAGCAGATGGAAAGAATACTTTGAAGAACTTTTAAATGAAATTCCCACAACAGAATATGAAGAGGAAGAAGAAGTGAAGGAAAATGTCGATCAAGAACGAATAGAGGAAAGACCGCCTAACGAAAAAGAAATAAAAGAAATAATAGAGAAACTAAAGAATAATAAGAGCCCAGGAAGAGATGAAGTAACAGCTGAAATATTTAAATATGGAAGACCAGTACTAATTAAACATTTGGAAAAGTTGCTAAAAATCATATGGGAACAAGAAAAATTACCGAAGGAATGGACCGAAGCGACACTGTGCCCTTTTCACAAAAAAGGCGACAAAAGTTTATGCCACAATTACAGGGGAATAGCCCTACTAAATGTTGCATATAAAATGCTTGCAGTATATATAAAAGATAAACTATCTCAAAATATAGATAATGGCATAGGGGAATATCAATGTGGATTCAGAAGAGGGCGCAGCACAGTGGATCAAATTTTCCTAATGCGCGAAATACAAGCAGAAAGCTACGAATATGGGAAACCTACAATGGCCCTAACCAAGTTCAACAACTTGCTCAGAAAACCGAACAATAGCTTTAATGAGTCACACACTTAAAACATTTTTGAAAATAATTCACAGCAGAATTGTTAAAACTCTTGAATATGAGATTAGTGACACACAATTTGACTTTAGAAATGGTATGAGTACAAGAGATGCTTTGTTCGGCTTGAATGTGCTGGCTCAGAGATGCATGGACATGAATCAGGATATGTACTTATGTTTTGTAGACTTTGAAAAGGCATTTGATAAAGTTCAACATAAAAAGCTTGTAGATATATTAAAAAGCAAAAATATTGACAGTCGTGATCTGAAAATTATATCTAATTTATATTGGAATCAAACTGCCAAGGTAAGAGTTGACAGCCAGTACACCGAAAATATCAAAATACAGAGAGGAGTCCGCCAGGGTTGTGTGCTGTCCCCACTACTTTTCAATGTCTACAGTGAAGCGGTATTTCAAGAAGCGCTCTCAGACTCAATAGAAGGTATATCTATCAATAGAGAAGTATTGAATAACTTACGTTTTGCAGACGATACAGTAATAATTACGGATAACAACAATGATTTACAGAACGTAATGCAACGCCTTAATGAACGCTGTCATGAGTACGGACTGAAGATAAATTTAAAGAAAACTAAATGCATGATCATGACTAAATCTGCACATGCAAATATCCAATTGACTATTGAAGATACTGCAATTGAGAGTGTTAATAACTATAAATACTTAGGAACATGGATAACATCAGATGTAGACCAAACCAAAGAAATTAAGACACGTATTGAAATAGCACGTACATCATTTATTAAACTTAAAAAGTTTCTTTGTTGTCGGGATATAAGGTTAGAACTACGCCTGAGAATGCTTCGATGTTACGTGTTCTCTACTCTTCTTTATGGTCTGGAAGCTTGGACACTAAAACAAGTTCATCTGAATAAGTTGGCCGCCTTTGAATTTTGGTGTTACAGAAGAATCCTACGAATATCATGGATTCAAAGAATGTCAAACATGGAAGTAACTAGAAGGATAGGAAATGAGGCGGAAATAATATTAACTATTAAAAGACGAAAACTTGGGACATGTGATGAGAGGGCAAAAATACGTATTATTACAACTTATCATGCAGGGCAAAATCCGAGGAAAGCGAAATGTGGGAAGACGAAGAATATCCTGGCTTAAGAACTTAAGGGAATGGTTTGAATGCAGTAGTACTTTTTAGAGCAGCAGTTAACAGAGTCCGCATAGCCATGATGATTTCCAACCTTCGATAGAAGATGGAACTTAAAGAAGAAGAAGACAATGGCCCTATTCATCGACTTTAAACAAGCGTTAGATAGGATAAAACGCAAAGAAATATACAAAGCACTACGTGAAATGAGAATTAGTGAAAAACTGATAAGAATGGTAAAAGTGACACTACGAAGAACAGAGAATAGGGTTAAAATAAATGGCGAAGAAACAGATAAGTTTGAGGTCAGTGAGGGGGTGCGACAAGGAGACCCACTGTCATCGCTGTTGTTCAGTATCATCCTCGAAGTTACCATCAGAGAAGCTGGAATCAACAGGTCAGGACTTATCAATGCTTAGCATTCGCTGACGACATTGTACTGATAGCCAGAAGTAAGCAAGAATTAAAAGAAATAACAAAAAGATTAGAAATGAAAGCGAGAAAGAATGGGATGTACATAAAAGAAGAAAAGACCAAATATATGGAATGGACAGAAAGAGATTGCCTACAAGAACAATATCTAACAGTAATAACAGATGAAAAAACATATAAATTCGAAGAAGTAGAAATATTCCAGTATTTAGGAGCGACATTCACGAGAAGACCAAATATGAAGGAAGAAATCCAAGCGAGAATTATGGCCGGTAACCGTTGTATTTTTGCACTAAACAATTTATTAAGAAGCAAAAACATATCTAGAAGGGCTAAGATAAAAATATATAAGACAGTAATAAGACCTATTGTATTATATGCCAGTGAAACATGGACAATGAACAAATCCGAGCAAGTCCTGCTGCAAGTCTGGGAAAGAAAAGTCCTCAGGAAAATATTTGGAGGTAAATTATGGAATGGTATATGGATAAAAAGACCAAATATGGAATTAGAGGAGATGTATGGAGAACCGAATATCGTAGGGATCATAAAGTCACAAAGACTGAGATGGTTGGGACACATCCAAAGGATGGGAAACACGAGACTGCCAAAAAGAATGCTAATGGGAGGAATAGGAGGGAAAAGGAAGAAAGGCAGACCGAAAACCAGGTGGAAGAAGGATGTTGAAAAAGACATAGAAAAACTTAAAATACCAAACTGGAAAAATAAAGCAACAAACAGAAAAGAATAGTAAACCAAGCCATGGGCCTTCTAGTCTAGGCCTGGAGAGCTAAATTATATATATATATATATATATATATATATATATATATATATATATATATATATATATAAATATATATATATATATATATATATATATAGTTACTGTTAGTTCTTATTTCTTAATAAACCTCTTTACTTCTTAGTATTGGAATAGTATTTGGAATTTAAACTTATTCCAAAGAATATGGACGCATATAGACGGACATTTCAAATAGGAGATTTGCTTACGATTATTATACTTCAAAACACTCATGTAGGGGGCGACTGCATAAACTCAAACTGTAGCCGTCGGCTTAAAACTATATCATGCAAACTTTTTTTGTTCTTTTCACAATAAAATCTTAATTTTTAATATATTAGATTGATAAATTTTTAATTTTAAAACTTGTCAAGGTATGAAAATTTCAATATTATTTTTTTTTATTACATGTAAATAAAATGTTATAAAAATCCACAAGGAAAAATTCCTGTAGCTGGCTGTATACCACGTATAACAAAAAGAGGTTAATCTTTGTAAATGGGTATATTTATTTAAAAAACCCTTAAAAGGACCACATCAATAAAACAAACGTTTTCGGACCACACAGTCCATCATCAGGTTTTTAATATCGAAAAATGCTAGGTCACAATGCCTGAGCCACCAAAATACTAGGGTAAAAACCCTTTAAATTACATTTAGTTATGAAATGTTGTACATTTTGTTGTAAAATAACTGTGATGTTCAGTATTAAATTAGACTATAGGTAACACATGGCTCAATCTGGTTCCAGAGCCGGTGAGAGGGTACCTCTGCACTCGGAGAGTTCCACGCTGTTCTCCCTAAATATTACCTCTGTTCTACCTAAATATTATTTATATATTATTTGTAGATTTGTATACATTTAAATTAAACATTTGAATCACAATATTTTATCTAAAAAGATTCGGTTATAAAAAGTTAAAATATTTTATTTTCTTAAAAAATATATGGTGCCTGAGTAGGATTTGACCTCTAATTTTATAAAATGTAAAAATTTATTGCTAACCATTCTATGCACATGACCACTCGGCATCTATATAATAAAATATCTAAAGTTGCATTTGTTGCTCCACTCTTTCATAGTTTAGAAGCAGTAATAGCGCTCACATGAGAGCATAATTAACTAAAATCTTGTTCAACTTGTCTAACTTCAGCCGAGACTAAAAATGACACTTTCTGTATGCTTCTATATTCTTGGCTACTACCATCAATAAATTTTTGGCCTTATCAATATGAAATTTTTTTGTATTCCGTCTATATTAATTTTACCTACTACTTTATGCATTTTGTAGTAAATCAGTTTGTTCTTCTAAATGCATTGTTGGGCTAAAATTCGATCCACGCTTTATTAGCAATATTTTAAGTAAATACATTCTCTAAGATAGTCACTGCTTCAACGCAAATACCAACGGTATTACTGGAATTCCGGATTCTTAAGTATTTGTGTATTTTGCTAAATTTTTCAGAATTTCAAATTCTTAAGAACTTTTGAAAATACTTAAAATACAGTCAGATGAGGTGTAACTTTGAATGGTTTTGTTTCTGCATTTTATTGCAAATCTGACAAATAACTCTTCTATATATATTGCAAAAGTAGTCAAAAGAGCTTAAAAGTATTTTAGAAGATTAAAATTAGGTAATGTAATATTTATTTTAATTTTCTTATACGGGAATAACCAACCTTCCAATCAAAGGAAGGCTTATTCCAAGGCTTGCTTTAATTACGATTTTTCGATGGATATATAGTATACTTAGGGTATTAGGTGAAGGTCTTTATGAGTAAAGAAATGATCTTACCTTACTTATATTGGTATATAATCCCTAGAAAAACTAACATGTTTAGTTTTGACGTAAGGAGAATAATCCGGACCAGATCTATCGCAGATTACAACTTTAAATCCCCCCTTAGCAAGGCCATAAAACGAAGGAGGCCTCAACAGGGGACTAGAAAACTTCCATCCTAAATGATTTTCACAACTCTTGCACTGCATAATTGTCCATGTATACCTAAAAAATATGTATCATATTCTCCTGGTTCTAAAATCTTAAATTTTAACTAAAATAGCTAAGAGTTAACCGATCCTTAAAAATTTAGTAACTTATCATATGTTTTTCGGAAGAAATACAAAGTTGGGAAAACTTAACGTCTGGAAAAATATAAAGGTAACAAGGTAATGTTCAATATGTATGTAAAAGCTCAACAAGATGCTAATGCGAGCTTAAAACTGTACTTTTACATCTACCTTCACATTTCTACGTTTAGTCTTAAAAAAAGTAAAAACCGTGATATAACGACGTGTCACGCACATTTTATCAGTAGATTGGAGCAGGACGTGGTCAAAAATGACCTCAAATATGTTGCTAACTAGACTTTTCCGCTGATCCTTAAGTACTTGTGTCCAAAACATGCGTAGGTAGCCTACATTTTTTTTTTCAGTATCTCTTCAGCGTATCGCTATCTGATGAGCTAAGTACAACTAAGTTGTATGTTAAGTGTATAGACCTGTCTAGATTATCCATTGAAAATACTTAAAGATAATTATAGTCTGGCAAATAATAAGTGAAATGAGTCATGAGTGTGATCAGTTGGCTTTTTAGTATCGTTTAGCTATTACAATGAATGTTACCAGGAAGCGTGTCAGTAGCGGAGAAATGGAGCGTATATCGTCAGTATAAATTTAGTTTATTCAGAGTTGTAAGTACATTGTATGTTAGAAGTATTCGTTCTGTGCAGCTGACGGGAGGGGATATACGTATATTTTGGCACGTACCGGCCAAATTTGTCATATCCGTAAGGTCCGCTTACCATTTAGCTAATTTCAGTATAGATTTCAATACTAAAAATATTAGTTACAAGTCGATTTAGTATGAAAAATGTGGGTTTGTGTTTGGAACTATCTTAATTTTAATTAGCATGTAGGCATATACTCTACCAATTTTGTATTGCTAACGTAACAATGACGTTTGTTTTATGATTAGAGTAAACAAAACACATAGGCAAATAATGATGGCGAAAAAGAAGTTAAAATTATATGCAGTAGTTTTAATTGTAATAATACATAATTTTGTTTAAAACCAGTTGAGAATAACCTCACTTTTAGTTAATACACTCTGGGCCAAAATTAACCGTCACTTTAAAAATTGTTAATTTTTGATGGTCGGTCAGATAGCTCAGCGGGCTGTGCGGCTGCCTCTCATTCGCTTCACTGTCGAATGGTTCAGTGGATGTGGGATCGAGTCCCAGCTCGGTGTATAGAAAACAAAAAGTCTAACGCAGCAGTTTAAAATTCTAGATGAATCTGCGGCTTAGACTAGAATATTCTGGGGTCTGATCGGCCTATGGTGGAGCAGTACGGCAAGAGATAAGGGCTTGCGGCTCGGTGATACTCCTCCATAGATCCCTACCGAACGGCGTAACGCCTAAAAAAACCGGATATATATATATATATATATATATATATATATATATATATATATATATATATAATTTTTGATGTCATATCTCCTAAACCTTTTGTCCGATTTAAGTGATTTTTTTAAATATTTTATAGCTTTATTCCTTGACAACATCTTTCTAATAATATTGTTGCTAAACAGATATATTTTCATTATATACCCAATGTACGAATCAAACTGTGTTTTTTCTTAAAGGTTTGCATCACCCTGTGGAATATTCTAGCATTTGTAGAATACTGAAATTAAATCGTAACTATAGCTTCTGCTTTCTGAACATTTTGTTTTTTGATTGATTCGCTTATTTTGGATAATACAAAAGTTAGGTGTTTCACAACTAGACATGCTTTTATCGATTTTTATCTCAGCGGAAGAGAAAAAATAATCTTTTTGAAAAAAGTCATTTGTTACAATAAAAATCCAATGAAGAAAATTCAAATTAACAATATTTTGAAAATCAAAGTTCAATTGAAAAAAAAATTGGGTATCAATAATCGGTGTTGCCGCCTCTAGCCCTTAGAACTTCTTGGAGCCGGTTTGGCAATCCATTCATGATATCCTGGATATCAGATTGGGGAATATTGTGCCACTCCTCTACCGAAGCTGTCTTCAGTTCTTCAAAGGATGCAGGGGCTGGTACTCTTGCTCTTACCCGTCTTTTGAGGTTGTCTCAGATATGCTCAATTGGGTTAAGATCGGGACTGTGTGCTGGCCATGGTAGAACTTGAATCCCGAGCTCATTAAGGTACTCACGGGTAGATCTTGCTGTATGGCAACGTGCATTGTCATGCATTAGTCTTAAGTTGTCACCAATGAATGGTGCAAAAGGCATGACATGGTCTTGGAGAACTTCTTGCACGTATACTTGGGCATTCACACTGCCTCTACCGAACACAAGAAGATCAGTACGTGCTTCGTAAGAAATACCTCCCAAATCATTATTGACCCTCCTCGGTAAGCCACTGTTTCGGTTATAGCGCATGCAGCAAACCTTTCATTTTGATGCCTATAGACACGTTGGCGTCCATCTGAACATTTTAGGGCTATTCTGCTCTTATTTGAGAACAGTATATTTTTCCATTCGCCATAGTCCAGTTAGCATATTCTGAAGTCTGAAATGAAGTCTAGCCCTACGGTGTTGTGGGAGCAGTTGTGGGGCGCGAGGTGGACGAAAAGCCCTCAAGTTTATTTCTGACGATCTTCTTCTAATCGTTTATCTACTGACACTAACGTTTCTCACCTCAAGAAGAGATCTACGAGCTTTAGGAGCGGTGTAAAAGCGATTTCTCAATACTTTAGTGACAATGAAGCGGTCATCTCGAACTGAAGCCCATCGTTTTCGGCCTTGACCTGGCCTGCGGCTGTACGATCTTGTCTCCCGAAATCGTCTGATGGCATCTTGTACCGTAGTTCTGGGTACATCGAGTATACCAGCGATATGACGTTGACTGTAACCAGCATCAACTAAAGCCACTGGCCTAGCAGCATCAGTTGGAACAAGTGGCATTTTTAAAATCACAAACAGTAAATCAGTACTGAAATTTCAACTTAAACAATATTCGTTCACAATGATATAAAATTACAATTTTAATTAATTTTAATTACAAATTTAATTTTAATTACAAATTTTTCAAGTATGATATTGTCGTACAACGACTATATGTCAAAAATCCTTCGATGACACAAATTTAGAAAACAAACTACCACAGTTAATGTAAACAAAACAATAAAGGTGGTGGGGTTAATTTTGCTGGTGAGTTAAATAGTCTGTATTGATGAAAAACATGGCTAGTTGTAAAACACAGTTTAATTCGTACACCCGGTATACAATGAAAATTTACCTGTTTAGCAACCATATTATTATATCGATATTCTCAAGGAATAAGGCTATAACATATTAAAAAAATCATTTAAATCGGACAACAGGTTTAAGAGATATAAGACAACAAAAATTACCCATTTTTAAGGTGGCCGGTTCATTTTGGCCCGGAGTGTATTTCATCATTTTTAGTACAAGAAATTAAAACTTGCTCTAATTTTTAGTACTGAATCGGCACGCGAATCTAATTTGTAGATACAATATTTTTAATAATCAATTCAGTACTGAATTAAGCATAATGGTAAGCATACCTAAGGTTTTTATGACTTATACTTAATTGTACAACGATAAGAGGGAATATTTGTTGCATAGCAAACTGCTACAGAAACAGTAAAAGTGGTTGCAAATTCCATATATTGTTACAAAATATTAAGTAGTTTAATAAAATGTTTCCGTAAAACAGTAATACTATTATTATATATAAATATAATTTATATATTTACAACAGTAAATCTTCATTTACAATTGCAAAGTGAGATTCGAATTAGGATCTCAAAAAATCAATATTGAAATAATTACTTAAATTCGTTTTTAGTACAAATAAACTCTGTCATTATATAAATTGGTATAATAAATATAAAACATAAATTGTTATTATATTATTGTTAAAAAAATATACATAATAAGCTATTAAAATGTTTATAATATATAAATCCAACTTATGTTGGTTGGTATGTTGGTGTCCGTCAAAAACAACGCTCGGGTGAAGTTCATGTCTCACAGAGACATCTACGAGGTCAAAAACCAATTGAATAAGACGTACAGCTCATTCTTTTTATTTACATAAAAATATAATAAGGAAATTTCTACTCTAGACAAAATATTTTCTGCAATAACAACTAATGAAGTAATTCCCAAATGAGTCGTGAAACTTTGCGTACGCAGTTACATAAATTGGAATTTACGTATGCTAAGTACAACGACATGAAATCGTTACATGGCGTCGTCGCAGCTATCTGCGTAAAATATCAGAGTTCCGTGAAAAAAATTAGACGAAACTTGGGTTAATGCGGGACATTCTGTTAAAAATGTGTGGACTGACACTACTGTAACAAGTAGTCGGCAAGCTTTTATTCAAGGTCTATCTCAAGGAATCCAAGGACTGACAGGTAAAGGACAGGGACTCATAGTGACCTATATTGGAAGTGACAGCGGCTTTCTAAAAGACAGTGCTTTGATATTTTTATAAAAAAAAACGGTTTACCATGAGGATATGAATGCAGATCGTATCGAACAGTGGTTTTAATATGTTCTGCAACGTGTTGAAGATAACTGCGTCATCGTTATGGATACCACATCATACCATAGTCGCTGGAGTGAACAAATTCCCACTGCAAACAGCCGAAAGGTTGAAATCCAAAAATGGCTCCGGGGAAAAATATTCCGTACTATGAGAATGCAGTTAGGGTAGAGCTGACTAACAGGTGACAACAGCAGCGATAGTGAGAGTAATGGTGATCGAACATAAATAGACATATTAAGTTGTGAAATTATTAAATATAAGTACTAATATAAGTAAAAAATATAATATATTATTACAGTCCTGACGAATTTAATTGCAAATTAATGCATAGTCTACAATAAGCGAATATGGTCTACAATAACATGATCTATAATTTTTACTGCAAGTCTGGGTAATTTCCAGATGCAATTTTGAATATTTTTCCGAGCGAAGATAAAATTATACAATCGGTTAAAAAAAGAACTATGAAAAAATAGGACATTTTTGAAATCACAGATTCAAAAATATTTAAAATTCGTTATTTGTCAAGCACCAAATTTTTTCATTTTGTTGGGCTGTATTATTATTCCTGTTTTATACCATGCAAGTTAAGCGTTTACAGCGTGAACTGTATTCCAATTCTTCATTTGGCGGAATTTTCAGTTCTTTATTGACGTTATAAAATAAAAATATTTGCTTCGTTACGTACTAGCAGCAATGTGCTGATTAATCTGTTGTTTAACAGATAGAACGTCAACCCAATAGATAACTTCTTCCAAATAAACACGTTGAGTGTCTTACATCTTTATGTATATAGTCGACATTCGCTTATCAACTCAATCGAAACATTATTGATGTGAACGAGATATTCTACTGTTAAAATGTTAAGTGACCGCAAGGAAACACATTTTCTTCCGCTTCGCCAATGATCGAATTAAAAATTTTCTAGAATTCTATAGTTTCATTTAATATTTGCCAGAGTCGAATCTCTCTTACACCCCCTTATCTCTCTCAATCTAATCTCTCTTTCTATTTATACTTTATCAAACTCCAAGTGTGACATTTCATATCTATTGAACTAAATAGTAATAATTGAATATCTGTATTATATTAAAAATGTTATATTTACCCGGGAAACCATGAAAATTGTGTAGAAGGATTACCTTCCAACTTAAAGTTTTGTGCATTCATTACTGTTACTGTTTCATACACATGCCCACCTAAAAAAGAATGTAAATATATATATATATATATATATATATATATATATATATATATATATATATATATACTTCATCTAATTTACATATCGATGCACGTCATTATCTACATCAGAGATCGAAGTTGACATAGTTGCCAAAGTATAAAAAAATCTTGACTCCATTTTAAATCAAACAGATCACATAATTATTGCAAAAGTATTAACATCTCTTTACAACGACTATTTAAATTCTTACGTGACATTTTTAAAATAAAACACACTAATTTTATTCTAAAAAGAACAGATTTTATTAAATAGGTAAAAATATAAAACAAGAGGTGTTCATTTTAAAATTCAAAATAATAAAGTACAAAAAGTGTCAAACTGTAACTGTCAAATAAGTGTTACCAATTTATGCCAAAATTTCACCTTTGTGCAATTGCAGTTACAGTGTGTTCCGAACAAAAATGTTCTTCATAAAAACGCTTTATTACATTTATACAAATTAATTGAAGTATATTATTGTGTATTTCTTTAAGATAATATTAATAGAAATTTTTAAATATTATTTCTACGCGTATATAATAAAATATGTCTAGTGGCTGTAATGCCAGTGTACTCGGCAAAGTGATTCTAAAAAAGAACACACTTATCGCCTAAATATTTATACACCAATGACGTGCATCGGTATGTAAATTAGATGAAGTGTATATATATATATATATATATATATATATATATATATATATATATATATATATATATATATATATATATATATATATGTATATATATATATATAAATTTTCATAATTAAGATATTAATATACCTGGGTTCACATAATTACTCTGAATACCATCTTTAGACATAGCAAATACTTCACTAGGATCTGTAATTTGTACTCCACAGCTATTACAGCACATAATCCGTTTCTAAAGACAAGAACAAACATGTATTAATTGATCACGTATAATATGAATAAACAGATACATGCAAAATATAAAATACAGACAAAAATAGAGAAATAAAATAATAGATACAAAAACACATAATCACCATCACAACTATTGATTAAATATAGTATCTTACGGATCAGACATTTGGTCTGTCCTCCACTAGTCTTATTGAATGACTATTATTTCGACTTTAAATGTAGAATTAACATAATCTAATTCCATTCTCATATAGCATTGCTAAAATTATATATATATATATATATATATATATATATATATATATATATATATATATATATTTATATATAAACCTTTTAACAAAGATATAACAAATAATAAATGTTGTACCATTTTAAGGGTTTTTACCCAAATATTTAGTGGACTCATGTGCGCCTGGTAAATACATTGATGATGGATTTGTTAGTCTGAAAACGTTATGTGATTGTAACAAATATGTAATAGTAATGTAACAAAAAAACAAATTAGTGAGTGACTACTTGACGCTCAAAAGAGAATACGACCAATTTGCATGCCCTATAGAGACCGTAAATTGAAAAAATGACCGACAAGGTAATCAAAAAAAGTATATATGAATAATCTGAATGAAAGTGATAAACTATGGCAGTTGCTCTAAAATGTGATTGGGCACCAGGAAAGTATTAACATATACCTTCCAAGGTATCTTGTAAAGCTGTATACCTTTTTTTTCTGAAATGAAAAGGAAAACAGATATTAGTTGAAATATTTTGCCTTCACAACAAATTTAATTCTTAGCCAAATATATACAGTCTAATTATTTATGCTACCCACCACCATTTATGTACAGTTAACCTAGTTGCTTATATACTACGAAAAATTCCCAGGTTATACACCATACTCCCTCTAAATTCCCAAAAAAAATAGTTATTTTTGTACCAAGGGTATTAAATAGATGTTTATGCCCAGATGGCGACGATGTTTGATTTCATTTTGACAATATATTTACTAGTAGACATTCTATGGTCCGTGTTATGTTGCTACGCTACGGAAATGCTGTCAAACGTGTCCAACTAAAACCGTGAAAATGCAAGATATTTTTGAGATCCCTAACCAAATTAAAAAACAAGCGGAAAAAGCAACGCAAAAGTTACTACAACATAAGTAGAGATATGCCTACGACAAGGAATATGTAAAATTACAGCACAGGATCACAAAAAACCATGTAAAACACATTAGTGAAACTGTGCTCTTGTATACTTTCCCGATCTCGCCGAAACATTTTCTCCGAGTTCCCTGTGGTCCAAATATTCAACGATAAAGAAGACTTTAGTCGTAAATAAGAATATTAACCTTGCCAATTTGAAATGTTGTTAAATAAAGATGTTTCTAATAAGTTATCTTTTTGTTTGTAACTTTACCCCGTGCGGGCCATAAAATACACTTTATGCCCGCGTGGGCATAAAGTACACTATTACGTAGTTGGTAACTAAGCAATAAAAACACAATAATAAACTAATAACAAAAAGCATGCTCTGGATATATTTTAGAAAATAAAAGAATGGTATGAGACAGAATATTTTTATAGACAGTCTTAACAGATAATAGATAGTTTTAAAAATAGATAATTATATGTTTTTGAGGCCGGAAAGTAAAATAGAAAATTGACATATGATTTTATATTGTTACTATATTTAAATCTAGAATTTTTCTTAATGAAATGAGATGAAAAATGACAGATACATATATCAACTATCAAAGGAAAAACGACAATATTTTAGAAATCAAAATGGCCGATGTATACCTCTTATTGATAATTAAATCCACTTACCGGCTAAGAGTGTCATAAACCAAACGGGACCATCAACAAAAAAACAAACCAAAACTTCCTTCAACTTCTCCTCAAAAAAATTATCATTCTTAAAATAAATTTAGCACTTCTCTAGTCGCCTACTTTTTTATTAACTCGACTTTTCTTCCCGGAAGTCAAAACAAGAGTGACCGCTAATTGCTAGAGGGATAAGCATGTCTGCCAAAACTGCTGCTTGGAGTCGTTGCTTAATACCAACTTAGAAATTACAAATTACTAAGAGATTTCGACTGAATATTGATGTATAGATTTTATTTAAAGCGATGCAAGGATTATTGAAGTTCCGGACTCGTTATATGATGTAGCCCGAAAGGGTCTTTTAATTATATACCTTTTATAAAGGATTTTAAAATACAAGTTTTTTAATATATTTACTTTTAATATCCTCATTTTTGTCACTTTATTTATCTATCTAAAAATTCTCAATTCTACAACATGCGCTTGTTTTTTTGACTGATCAATATGTAGTGCAATATGTGCTAATTCAGTTAGTAGCACTGTTAGTTATTATTTAAAGTGGGGACTTGAACCAAATCCGACAAAGGCAGAAGTTACGGCTTTTCATTTAAATAGTCGCGAAGCTAAGTACAGACTGAACAGAGACACACAGAAAGCGAAGGAATTATACTAAAACATAATCCAAACCCAACTAAAATATCTCGGTTTAACACTAGATCGCACTCTAAACTTCAAGAAACACTTAGAGGAAAACTGCAGCTAAAGTAAATATATGCAGAATAAACAAGCTTGCAAACACTTCTTGGGGAGCCACTGCAGCCATAATCGGGACAAGCGCTCTGGCATTAGTCTATTCAACAGCCGAATATTGCGCTCCAGTCTGACTAGATACTCACCATACTAACGTCATAGATGCACAATTAAATCAAACCATCAGATGTACGAGTATTATATGTGAGGTTTATATTATATATATATATATATATATATATATATATATATATATATATATGAACCTCACACGTAATACTGAAACCCTCTCAGAAACCCAATTGAACTTTAAAAGTCAAAGCAAGGCATCGACTTTTCACTAATGAGGGGAGCTGTTATATGTGAAAATAGTCACCTCATTCACACTCATCATTTAAGTTTCTTACCAATAACATATTTGTATTATAATTTTATTTGCTTCATTTTTATCGTAGAACAAAGTGTAACGATTAATTGTAAAATAAATCTTTTTTAAAAAGTCATTCAAAAAGTTAGTGATTTAACATTTGGCTCAGTAGGATCCGGTAAACGTTGTTAGAACAAGGAAACTCACTAGCAACGGCGGATCTCTATCTCACAACGGAAAAAGAACCTAGAGCCGTTGAAATTGAACCCTACAAACTTTCAGAAATATTTTCCATAATTCCTGAGTTTGAAGGAGACCCAATCTCTCTTCCCACATTCTTAGACGCATGTGATTGCGCGATTAAAATGTCTTCGGGAGACCAACGTATTTTATTAACGATTCACATTAAAAATAAACTAAGAGGTAAAGCAGCTCAATTAATAAACTCTAGAAAACCAACTTCATACACAGACATAAAAAATTTATTAAACCTTCATTTTGGAGATAGTAGAGATGTCACTTCTTTAATTCATGACCTACAAAGACTTAGACAGTTATCGAATAAATCACCCTTAACCTTTTTGTAAACCTTTTTAAAGGCCTAACACAAGACCACAAGATCGCCCAATACACGTTAATTGACTCTATGGCTTTGAATACGCTTTTAACTGGACTAAAACCCCGCTTAGGACAAATAATTAGGGCCAGTAACCCTAAAGATCTTATTGAAGCCAGTAACCGTATCCGACGTGAACTTCAGTTATCGTATTTCGAATCACAAAAATCAAATAAAGATAGCCAAAATAATTCAAAACCTTCTCAACCGATGAGAAGAACCTCATCTAATTTTTCCAAATGCACAAGTTGTGGTCGTATTGGCCATTTAAGTAGTGAATGTCGCTCATCGCGTTTTTCTTCTTACCAAAATCAATATAGCGGTAGACCACAAAACTACCAAAATAATCAAAACCAATACCCTTCCAATCAATATAACAGTAGATCACAAAATTATCCAAGTAATCAAAACCAATACACTTCAAATCAACAAAATTTAAACCCAGAGAGATCGAATTTCCCTTCTCAAAATCAACCGCAGAATCGCCCATCTGTTATTCAGAGAAATCCAAATTTCCAAAATTTTCAGCAAAGAGCCCATGTCTTTAATGAATACCCTGATGATCTCGTAGAATCTTATGAAGATTATTATACAGAAAATGATCTTCAAACTGACTATTTTTACGAATATACCAATGATACATCTGATTATATCAATAATCCACCTAATACAGAAAATTATCAGGATTTTCTTTCGCTACCCAATCAGAAACATCCTCCAGTACATACGAATCTTTCAACCGATATTACGAACGTACAACAACAAATCCAAGCCCTCAATTTGGACAATTTCGATCCAAATGTGAACTTCCCCGAACACAAATTCCTGTAAGCCCCTTTCACACAATGAGCTCTAAAAACTTATATTATATCAATGACGCTACGAATACTTTTAAACTTCTAATTGACACCGGTGCAGAAATTACAGTTTTCAAAGAGAATACTGCACGAAATTATCATAACCGATCCCCAGAAAATGTTACCATTCAAGGCATAACCGACGAAAACTTTCTAATTACAGAATCTGTCCTTACTCCTTTTACCGATGACAACCCTCACAAAGTTTTCATTTTTAATCTAGACATTTACTTTGACGGCATAATAGGCCTAGATTTCCTAGACCATTACGAATGTATAATAGACCTTAAAACCAGACAACTTCATACAAACTTTAAAACTCTTACCCTGCATAAAGTTGGACAAGAGACACATAAACCCATAGGAAATATTCCGGTGACATTCCTTACAGAAATAGTACCGCCAAATAATTTCCAAACATATCCGAAATCAAACTCAAACATTAAAGCTCAACAAATTAGCAGTTCACTTCACGAATACACCCATGATCAACAAAAGCACATCCCAAGACCAGAGAAAAAACGAATAAAAGAAAAAATAAACCAAATTTCGATTGATGGCTGAACAGAACAAATATTCAAA